AGAGAGAGAGCGAGAGCATGAGCAGGGAGGATGGGCAGAGGGAGAGGGAGAAGCAGGCTCCCCACTGAGCAGGGAGCCCCGTGCGGGACTTGATCCCAGGACCCCAGATGACCTGAGCCAAAGGCAGACACTTAACTGACTGAGCCACCCAGGTGCCCCCCAAAAAACATTTTTAATGAAACTTTACTTAATGTAAATTTTTAAATTTATATGGAAAACAAAGTATAACCAAACATTTCTGAAGGAAAGGGTGGATGGTTCTGTCTTGTCAGAGATCAGGACTTTTTATAAAAGTAAGACTAATTAGGACAGGGATAGATAAAAAGGCCAATGCGACAAGAGAGACATATATATACACAAAATTTTAATATATGCAGAAGGAACATGTGGATTGGTGGATCAGTGGAAAATGGATGGACTTTTCATTCAATGGGGAAAAGATAATTTGTTTTTATATGGGAAAAAATTACAACTGATCTCTACCTCAAACCATTCATAAAAATAAATTTTGGTTATGTTAATAGGGCTTTAATAAGAAAGCCAAAACATAAAAATTCTTGAAAGAAAAAATAGAGGAAAATTGGGCTAGGAAAAGGTTTAAGATTCAAAGATATGGGGGCACTTGGCTGGTTCAGTCAGTAGAGCATGCAACTCTTGATCTCAGGGATGTGAATTTGAGCTCCACGTTGGGTGTAGAGATTACTTAATAAAATCTTCAAAAAGAAAAAAAAAAAAGACCCAAAGATATGAAGCATATAGCAAAAAAAGTAGACTGTTTTATAAACTATATATAACTTAACCATTATATATATAATTTAACCACACTAACATATAGAATTACTATTCATCAAAAGACATCATAAGGTAAATAAAGAACCTACAACAGGAAAAGATGTCTACAAAATATGTTATTGACCAAAAATGAGTATCCTCAAAATATGTAAGAAATTCCTACAATCTTAGAAAAAAGACAAATGGCCTAATACAAAAATGATCAAAATGGCATTACACAGAAGGGGCAATAATGGCCAAATAAGGAAAGGCAATCATCTTTAATAGTAACAAGGAAAATGTAATTTAAAACAATAAAATAAGATTTTATACTCATCAGATTATTAAAAAATGAAAAAAAATCTTTCAGTATCAATTATAGGGAAAGACAGTGATACAAACACTTGGAAAATGGTTTGGTGTTACCTAATAAAGCTGAGTAGTAAGTATGTATGCCAAGACCCAGCAATTACATTCCTAGGTATATTTCCTAGCAAATCTCCTGCATACGCAAGTCCAGAGATTTACATGTTATTACCTTATAATTTTATGTTCATTATGTTATATATATCCTATTGTGTATACAGTTTTTTTAAAAAAGATTTATTTATTTGAGAGAGATAGAGTGTGTGGGGAAGGGCAGAGAGGGAGAGAGAAACTTTAGCAGACTCCTCGCTGAGCCTGGAGCCAGATGAGGGGCTTGATCCAGGACCCTGAGATCACGACCCGAGCTGAAACCAAGAGTTGGACGCCTAACCAACCATGCCACCCAAGGGCCCCTTTTGTATACAGTATTATTTATTTATTTATTTATTTATTATAAAGATTTTATTTATTTATTTGTCAGAGAGAGAGTGCGTGCACACAAGCAGGGGGAGCGGCAGGCATAGGGATACACAGGCTCCCCGCTGAGCAAGGAGCCGGAGGTGGAACTTGATCCCTGGACTCCGGGATCATGACCTGAGCGGAAGGTAGATGCTTAACCAACTGCGAGCCACACAGGCATCCCTACGGTTTTGTTTTTGTTTTTTTTTTTAATAAATAACTATACTTTTTTTTTTTAAATAAAAAACTTAATTGATAGGCTGAAGAGCCAAATGGTCATAGCTGAAGAATGTATTAGTGAACTAATACAAAATAAGCCAAGGAATTCCATGTAAAGGCAGTATAAATTGTAAAAAAAGGATAAAAAGTAACAGACACTAAGGATAATCCATATGTTCTAATGTCTAATTATAACCTCAAATAATAGAGAGTATATTCTGTTCATGGTCTTATGGTAAGCAAAGACTTCTTAAAGAGGACAAAAAAGTACAGATAATGTGATTCTGTTTATGTAAGATTCTAAAACAAGCTGAAGAATAATTTCTCACTTAAGATCCAATGAGTGTGAAGCACAAAACACTCATAAATTTGACTAAAATTAAGAACTTCTGTTCACAAAATGAAACCATAAAGAGAGCTAAAAGACATTTCAGAATGAGAGAAGGTATTTACAATTTTAGAACACTGAATGTACTTATAAGCAAAATATATAGAGAATCCTTATACATCATTAAGAAAAATAGAGACAATCCAACAGAAAGACATTTTAAAAAGACCTGAATAGGCAATTCACTAAGAAGAATTTCAAGAGACCAATAATATGAAATGTGTCAAACGCATCAGTAAAAAGGGAAATGCAAACTAAAATCACACTGAACTATACTATATACTCATCAATTGGAAAAAATCCAAGCATGACAATACCATATGTTAAGAAATGTGCAATAATGAGAGTTCTCATATACGCTGGTGGGATTGTAAACTAGTAGAGGCATTAAAGAAAAGTTGAAAATTTGGCAGCTGAAGACATTATGTCTTATGATCCACTTACTTCTCTCCTAGTTCTAAAACAGAAAATGTTCATAGTAGCTCATTGTCATGGTCAAAAACTATAAACAATCCAAATGTCAATGAACAATACAACTGTTAAACTGTGGTATATTCATATAATGAAATGAATCAAGTCTGACTACAAGCAACACTATGTATGAATCTTAAAAACAAAATGCTCAATGGCACTCTTAGATAGTAAAACTATGAAAGGACACAAAGATATTGTGGACACAAAGAGATCTGTGTTGGTAGTGCTGTAGTTCTTGACCTGGGTAATGGTTCTATGAAAGTTCATTTCATAACTGTTGGAATGTCCATCTGCAGTTTGTTACATTATTTGTGATAATCTCCAATAAGAAAAATGACAATATAGTAACTTCTGCTAGGCATATCTATCTCTATAGGCATAAGTGGACAGATGGATAAAAGAAATAGAAAAAGAGGCCCTGAAATGCAAACTAACATAAATCAGAACTTATTATTGAACAGGCAGATAAAACAATGATGAATGAGCTAAATGATGACATGCTGCTAAAATGTGTGTGTGTGAGGGACGGAGGTTAATTGATTTAGACTCTCAATTTATACCTTATTGCAAAAGAAACTTAAAACGGATTTAAATGGTATAAAACAAATTACAGAAAATTTTAAAAACAACAGAATAAAGTATTACAAAATTTGTAGAGGACCGTTAATTTTCTAAAATCAGAAATCACAATAATCACTAAGGAGCTACAAACACATTGAAAATACATATTAAAGACGCCAACGCAAATTAAAATTAAAAAGTAAAAGCACCTTCTGGAAATGGGTAAATGGATGTTTTTATTTGATAAAGTCCATAAAAACTGACTGAAAAAATGATAGTAATAGATAAAAAGGGTAAAACTTAGTAGTGACCAAGTTAAAGACAATAGCACCATTAAGATGAAAATGTCCACTCTCACTAGTATTCAATATAATGACATGAAAACCATCCAGTGTACCAAGAAATTGTAAAATTTATTAGGGATGATGATGGCATTAAAATTATGTAAGGGAAAAAAATGTCCATATATTTTAGAACTATATACTGAGATTATGCAAAGGTGAAATGACATGAAGTCTTGGATTTACTTGAAATAGTTAAACAACAATAGTTAAGCACTGGTCTCCTGGCTGCTCCTTGAACACAGCCAATGCACACCTGCTTCAGGGCCCTTGAATGTCTGACTTCCTCCCTCTGGAATGTTCTTCCTTCCAGTAACCACATATAATGATTTACTGCTATACTTCTTCAAGTTTCTGCCAAAATGTCACCTAATTGGAAAAGTTTCTCTTACCCCATCCTATAAAATAGCATCCTCTATCCCCCTTCTCTACTTTGTTTTTCTTTTTAGCACTTACTATTACATGACATATATTCATTTATTTTTGTATCTCTCTCAGCAAGAGGGTAAGCTCTGGGAATAGAGATTTTGCATGTTCTATTCACTGCTGTAACATCAGTGTTGAGAATAGTGCTGGGCATACAACAGATATTCAATAAACATATACTGAATGAATGAATGAATGTGCTGTCCTGTTTAAACTCCTGCATACCAATTCTGTTGATCACTGCCAGCTCTAAGTTCTCAATGGAGGCACAGAGCCTTTATTTCCAACATTCTATCTAAAGTTAATGACAGGCACACTCAAATCTCCCTCTATGACATCTATACAGATCAATTTCTCTTCTATATCCTAATCCCTCATTTTTTCTGAGCTCCCTACTTTAACCTCTCTTATGATGGTTCTACTTTATAGAAGTTATATATAGACGTGTTGTAGTGCCCCATTAAGCTATACATTCTGCAACTGCTTATTCCTTTTTTAATCTCTGCAGTATCTAGCAGAGTACCTCACACATTCGAAAATCAGTAAATGTTTGTTATAAGTATGAATGAAGCAATGACTATATGAGCTACTTTATCTAAAACACCCTAAAGAAAATAAATGTTTGGCAATACAGAATAAAAATATATTTCAGGAGAGAGTGGTGCTTTTTTAAGATTAAATATAAAAGAGGATGAGAAGTGATGAGGAATTAGATCCAAAATATGGATAGAAAGGAATATCATTAGAGAGAGTAGAGGAGGTCACTGGCAGGTTAGAACTGGGCAAGAATAAGAGGAATTAGAAGTATAAGAGGAGAAAAGCAGGTAGAGTGTGTTAAATAAGGGGAAAAGGTAAGGTCATTTGAAAGCACATGCTGAAAAGGCTTACTTGTGTACAAGGGGCCTAAAGCTTTTACGGGGAGATTCCCAGATAGCACCTCAAAGGTGCAGTCTTTCCACTGACAACTGGGTCATTACCTGCCACGCCTCACTTACCTGGCCACTGCTCTCTTGTTAGTTCTCTGTCAACCAACCAGGGCTCTTTCCCCTGCTCCAAGACGGAGATCACATCTGGTTTAGAAACAGAATGTCCTGCTTACAAAAGAAGTAATGACATAAGTTTATGATGAGAATATCCCAGGATTCAAATTTAGTCCCTTCATTAAGAAAGAGTCAAAGAAAGGTATATCAGATTTATGAAACATAACAGAGGACTTGAAACTTCCCCCATAATTCAACACAGCTTCTTTTTTCTAATGTTACAATATTAAAAACATTCCTCAAGCACAGAATGTAGAAATACCTACTTGAAAGGTGGGTATTTCACATGGGACAAAGTAGACCTTCTAAGGGCAGAATCTGAATTATTATGGACAGACGTCCTTACCCATTGAAACCAGGTGGCTGTAATTCTCCAACATCACATCTCTGTATAAATCTCTCTGATCATCATTCAGGCATTCCCACTCCTCCTGAGAGAAGTCTATGGACACATCACTGAACACCACTGACTCCTGGAACAACAACCATGTATATGACTTGATTAATAAAAAGAAGTGTTTTGTTTTGTTTTTTTCTTTTCTTTTTTTTTTTGTGAAGGAAAGAAAGAAGAAAAGAATGAAGGTAGAAGTGAAAAACAGCAAGCATATAGAATAGGGCTGGATGCTTGGGACGCAAGTGGAGGACCGTAAACATATAAGCTGGACTGAATCTTGTGTTTCCATGTTCATTCTGTCTCCCCCGGATAAAACTGGGAAGGTACAAAATCCTGCTAAGAGGGGTATCCCAATTAAATGAAATAATATATACAAATGGCTAGCATAATACTTGCCATACAATAAGTCAACAACACATGTGAGCCTCTTTCTCTCTCTTCTTTTCCCAAATAGCTAAGAGTAAAATTTCAGAATAAGGGATAAAGAGAAGACATTGTAAGTACCCAGAGAGCAGATCATATAAAAGACTTCAAGAGTCAGAGAGGCAATGAGGTTCTCAAGAACACTACTAAAAACAAGAAATGATAAGAACAATTCTTCAATATGCTAATGGAGAAAAGAAATTCTGACCTAGATTCCATAACTCAACTATCGTTCTGTTGTGAGGGTTGAAAAAAGACATTTCTAGGGGCACCTGGGTGGCTCAGTCGTTAAGCGTCTGCCTTTGGCTCAGGTCATGATCCCGGGGTCCTGGGATTGAGCCCCGCATCGGGCTCCCTGCTTAGTGGGAAGCTTGCTTCTCCCTCTCCCACTCCCCCTGCTTGTGTTCCCTCTCTTGCTGTCTCTCTTTCTGTCAAATGAATAAATAAAATCTTTAAAAAAAAAAAAGAAAAAAGACATTTCTAGACATAAAAGGACTCCAGCACAATTTCTTAGAAACTACCAGAAGATGTGTTCCACCCAAAGGGAGGGAGTAACCAAAAAAGAGGAAGATGTAGTATTCAAGAAATAGGTGAATTAACCACAGGAGAACAGTGAAAGGAAATCTCAGGTAAACAAAAAAGGGGAAATCTTGGGAAAGCTACGCAGCAGGCCCAGAGAGTAACCAGAACAGGTGGGAGCAGGAAAAAGGGAAAAGGGGGATGGCAGTCTCCACACTCAGAACAAACTGATGTGTCTGACCAGAGGGAAAACATGGACAACTAAACAAATGGGGAAAAAAAGCATTAACCCTAGGAAAAATGAAAGGTTGTAATAGAACAGAGGTATGAGCTGGCTCAGCAGTGAGCAACATTTGCAGTCATAATATTCTGTATACTACTGATTTGACAAAAAGTATAATTAATAACAGAATCAGAGGAAATGGTGCAATACAAGAGTACGATGTCCCTTCCACTCTGTAGTAAGTCAAGAGAGTAAAACTGATTCATCAAAAGATAGCAATTAAACCATATTCAAGAGAGTTGAGTCACCTTTTAGGAGTGGGACTCGTGATGGGGTAAGATTGGAATAGCACTACTTCACTTGTAAAATGTGTAAAATGACTTTAAAAACTATTTTATCTTAGAAAATTAAATTTGCATTAAATTCAAGACTGATCCTTTCTCATCTCACACTATTATATAATAGTTAATTCCTTGTTACAACAAATTCTTTTCATAAGCATATTTTTTCACTGAATAATATCCTATAATATGGATATAAAACAAGTTTTCTTTGGTTTTCAGACACTGAGGTTGAAGGTTATTTTTAAAGAGCTCCCCAGTATTGGCCCAGTCTTATACTTATAACTGCCCACTGCTCAACTGTAAATTCCCTTTGTTGCTGCGCTATAGGAAAGTGATGGTAGATGATCCAGATTCACACAAAAGCATTACTAAAGTCTATTTATCATGGATGATCTGGTGAGGAGAGCTTTCTACTAACCAAGAATCATATCCCCAAACCTGAAAGGCTCATACACCAGATTTTCCCATGTATTAAGACTGAAATCAAGCAAAACCCATTCCTTGTATTTTCTTCTTTGAAAACCTAGGTCTGTGATGATCAGGGCTTTTCCCTATGAGTGCCCCTAATTATCTCCGTCCCATCCAATCACTGTTGAAGCATATTAGATTCATTAACAAATGGGGAACACATTTCTGTTCTATCAAGCTTTCTGGCAGAAGTCTAAGACAGAAGATGCTGAAGGACTTACTAAATGAGTTTGTAAACACTGGTTAAAAGAACAGGGAACTGGGGAGGGCCTTGGGGTTGTTTATGAAGAAATGGGGATCAGGTTCCTGAATGGGGACCATGTTAACCAGGGTAAAATTTTCTTTTCCAAACCTGGTCTCAGTCAGACCATTTTTACATTATGTAATTAACAATCTCTTTGTAGGAACAAATAAGGATTCTTGATGGGATCCATAAGTAATTTTCTGATGGATTTTAATCTGATTAAGACATCGTCAGAGAGTTGTTATCGAACCACTTGGCCCTCTGTTACCTGTAATTTAAGAGTGTAAAAATCTTTAACCAGACTTTCTTTTTTCCAGCAATGGTTATGGAACCAGTTCTTTTTTCTGTAAATATCTCCACCAAGACAGACTCCACCAAGACAGTCAATTAAAAGAATGTCTGTCTTGGTTGACTTATTGGAGACCTTTTTCTTTAGAGCAAGCGTAAGAGAACTTTGACATTTACACTGCTTTTAACTAAACTGTTTGAAAGTTGTTTTTTTTTTTAAACACCAAAAATATCATGATGAGGAAAGCAAATGTTTACATGTACTAGGGATAAAAATGATTCTATTTGAGCAAAAGGAAACTGCATCTCACCTGAGCCATGGCTTTGGTATTTGCAGAAAAAGACCAGTCCTCCTCTGGGCTCCTCTTGGAAAAGGGCAAAACTGGGGAAGACAAAAGAAACTACGTAAGATTCCACTTGCCTCATAGCTCCCAGAATGATCATTCCCCTCTGTTCACTCCATACAAACACCTGAGGGTTATCAATTACAAAAATGGGCAAACCTTTCATTATCTCTGACTCCAGAGACCTCAGTCTTTGACTGGAGTAGGACAGATTTCAACAATCAGATATGGCTTGGAGAATATAGCGTATATATACACACAAAGATACAAATTTTTTTATACAAATGATGGCATATTATACACACTGTTATACATACTGCTATTTTTATTTAATGTATCTTGAACTGGATCCCAACTAGTACATACAGAGCTATGTAATTCCCTTAGCTACATTTATTTCATTAAATGGATACACTTTATTTAACCAACCTGCTGCCCATGACCATTTTGGCTATTTCCTGTCTTTCACTATAACAAACAATGCTGTAATAAATATCCTTATATGTATTTCATTTTACTTTTATATGAATTCTGAATAATTCCTAAAAGTTGTTCATATACATATTAGTTTGGGTGTACATTTGTCAAAACAGTTTTTAATGATCTTGGGTTGTACAATCAGGTCCCAGGTCCTGACCAAGAAACAACTGGTTAGGGGCGCCTGGGTGGCTCAGTTGTTAAGCGTCTGCCTTCGGCTCAGGTCATGATCCCGGGGTCCTGGGATCGAGCCCCGCATCGGGCTCCCTGCTCCACGGGAAGCCTGCTTCTCCCTCTCCCACTCCCCTTGCTTGTGTTCCTGCTTTCACATGTCTCTCTGTCCAATAAATAAATAAAATCTTAAAAAAAAAAGAAACAACTGGTTGATGAACCAGATCCTCTAATCTTACCCAGTTTGAGAAAACTTTTTGGGGTTAGTGAATTTTATCTTAAGAAAAGTGAAATCCAGAAAAGGAAACAAAGCAATATTACAAAAACTTTAGGAAGATACTTAAATTAACGTAACAATAGGAATGAATTAAAAACTATAGAAATGGACTAAATCCTTATCACTGATGCTTTAGAATGCTTTTAATTGTAAATGTAGTAATAAAATTTGTAATAATTGTATATATTTTGTGTGCTTAAGATGTTTAAAATGTCCAAAAGAATGTTATACTAAAATACTAATAGAAGTCTAAATTGTTTAAGGGGAGTAAATGAATTTGAGATCAATGTTGAAATGTTTAATGAAATATGGGTTTTTTTGTTAGATAATATTAGATATAGGAATATAATAAAGACAGCATTATAAAAGTATAAAGGGCAGTGAGCATTCCTAGTACAAAGCTTCTTGGTCATTAAATAATTTATCAGTAATTGCATGTAGGGCACCTGGGTGGCTCAGTCGGTTAAGCCTGCCTTAGGCTCAGGTCATGATCCTAGAGTCCTGGGATCGAGTCATGCATCAGGCTCCTTGCTTGGCGTGGAATCTGCTTCTCCCTCCTGCAACCCCTCCCCACTGCTTGTGCTCTCTCTCTCCCAAATAAATAAAATCTTAAAAAAAAAATAATTGCATGTAAAACTGGCCACCCAGGAAGTAGAACCTTGTTATCAATTATTTAATGGATACTTCTACCCCCAAGCACTCACCCCCAGGGATATATATATTTCAGGAAACGAAAGTAATCTACAAATGTCTCTTCTTTAAAATCTGAAAGCACTCCTTTAATATTTTTATTATTATTACTATTTATTAAGCTCTCAGTATTTTTTTCTTTATAAGCCAACATAATCTATTATGTGGCAGGCATTGTGCTAGATTGTAAAGAATCAATAATAATCCAGGAAGACTTGGAAACAGGGCTCCTTCTCCCATACTTCTCACTTTAAGTCTCCCTTTCTGGTCTCTCGTAATGGCCTTTCCTTGGTTAAAGGGGCATCCTCAAGTGCCACACCTTCCAGGTAGAATGGGCAGGAAACATTCTTACTTCAGTAGCTCCATACTTTTTGTTACATTCCCAACCCTCTTCATGTTTGCTCCCAGAGTATATTCTCTGGCTGAATTCTTGCCATCTGGGGAATCTGCTCCTCCCTTTTAAAGCCAATGATTTCTGGGGCCAAGACTGTAGTGTACTTGCAAAATAACCACACCTTGGGTATGGAGCACCGCCAAAAGATACCACTACAGACAAGAGAGTCCTTTGAAATCTAGTTAATAAAATTTTTGAGAATTTTGCACTCTTCTAAATAATAAGCCATTCTTTTAATAAAAATATAATGTCTGAATTATTTCCAACATTATCCTAAAAATTTCCTGTATGCTGAGATTTGTATTTGTTAGTTAACAAAGACCTGAAAAGCACTAATTTTTCTTTATAATGAGAAGGCTAGACGTAGGTAGTGGTTGCCCTTGGCCTCCATGGTTGTTTTAGACACAGTATCTATCATTCAACTAAAAATTGCTAGACATGCTTGGAGAGAAAACCAGAAAATAGAAGCAGTACTATGGATGATTCAGATATTGGAACTGGCAACAATTTAAAATAGCTATAATTAAAATGTTAAAAACTAAAAAATATAGGCAAATGGATAAGATGAAGAAATTAAACAGAACAAATCTATAAAAGAGAATCAAATAGACAACCTAGATCAGTAAATTAAGAAATTAGGAAGTTGGGGCACCTGGCTGACTCAGGCGGAAGAGCATTCGACTCTTGATCTTGGGGTCGTGAGTTTGAGCCCCATATTGGGTGTAGAGATTACTAAAAAAACAAAATAAAATAGGGATGCCTGTGTGGCTCAGTCTGGTTAAGTGTCTGCCTTCAGCTCAGGTCATGATTCCAGGGTCCTGGGATCGAGTCCCACATCGGGCTCCTTGGTCAGCAGGGAGCCTGCTTCTCCCTCTGCCTGCTGCTCCCCCTGCTTGTGCTCTCTCTTCCTCTCTGACAAATAAATAAAGAAAATCTTTAAAAAAATAATAAAATAATATAAACTTAAAAAAAAATTAAGAAGTCATTGTATGGTTTTAACATAAGACCAGACAAGCAGAGGATAGGACTACTGAACTCAAAGACAAGTCAAAAACAAAAAAAAAACCCACATGAAGTGCAGAGGAAAAATAGAACAGAAACGGGCGCCTGGGTGACTCAGTTGGTTAAGTGACTGCCTTCAACTCAGGTCATGATCCTGGAGTCCTGGGATTGAGTCCGCATTGGGCTCCCTGCTCAATGGGGAGTCTGCTTCACCCTCTGACCATCTCCCTTCTCATGCTCTTTCTCACTCTCTCTCTAAAATAAATAAAATCTTAAAAAAAAAAAATACAACAGAAAGAACAGAAGTGAGTGTAAGACAAAAGGGACACAGTCAAAAGATTTGTAATGTATGTAATGTAATGTAATGTATTTGATATGCATATATGTAAGTGGAGCCTCTGAAGAAGAAAAGAGATTGGAGAATAATTAATATCTGAACTGATTAACTGATAAAAAGCCTCAACAAAATTTTCAAGAAGCTAAGCAAACCTGAATAAAAAATAAAAAGGAAAACACACAAAACAAAAAGCAAAGCCACAATAAGAGAAAAAAAGTCTTGATAGTACCCAGAAGAAGAAAAGACACATTAATGAATAAGAAAGGGATAACACAAATAAACAAAATCAGGAATGAAAAAGGGAACATCATTATAGACACCATAGACATTAAAAACATAGTAAGAGAATACTAATAACTTTATGCTATTAAATTTGAAAGCTTAGATGAAACAGATAAATCCTTTAAAAAACATGCCAAAATGGACAAAACAAACAAAAAACCTGAAACATCTGAAGAGGTGAATTGATTCCATAGTTTAAAAATCTCCAGGGTGCCTGGATGGCTCAGTCAGTTAGGCATTTGGCTCTTGGTTTCAGCTCAGGTCATGATCTCAGGGTCCTGAGACTGGGCTCCAGTGTTGGGCTCTGTGCTCAGCATGGAGTCTGCTTGGGATTCTTTCCCCTTCCTCACCCTCCCCCTCTGCTCGTCCCTCTGCTTAAGCCTCTCTAAATAAATAAATAAAATAAAAATCTTCCTATCAAGAAAATTTCAGGCCCAGAGAGCTTCATCAGTGAATTCTTCCAAATTTAAGGAAAACCTTTATTCTATATAAGACTAATAGAAAATGAACAGAAAAGAAAGTGAATAGAAAAACACAGGGAATTCTTCCTAACTCATTTTATGAGGCTAATATAAGCCTGATGCCAAAACAAAGATATTAAAAGAAAAGAAAACTATGGGACAATATTTCTCATGAACATAAATGCAGAAATTCTATAAAGTATTAGCAGATCTAACCCAAATTCTTTTTTTTAATTTTTATTTTTTTTAAGATTTTATTTATTTATTTATTTATTTGAGAGAGAGAGAGAAAGAAACAGCATGAGAGATGATAGGGTCGGAGGGATCCCCGCTGAGCCAGGAGCCCGATGTGGGACTCGATCCCAGGACTCTGGGATCATGACCTGAGCTGAAGGCAGTCGCTTAACCAACTGAGCCACCCAGGCACCCTAACCCAGTCAAATTCTTAAAAAGTTTAATACATTATGGAAAGTAGGGTTTACTTCAGGAACAAAAAGTTTGTTCAAGATCTGAAAATTAAGATAATTTACCACATTGATGATAACAGTAAAAAACATATGATCCTCTTGATAGAGAATATGCATTTGCCAAACTCAAGACTTCATTAATGTAAAAATCTTAGCAAATGAGAAAGAGAACTTCCTCAACTTGATAAATAGCATATACAATAGGTATTTTGTAGATGCTAGATACAAGGACAATATACAAAAAACAACTGTACTTCTAGCAACAGACAACTGGAAAATAAAAAAAAAAATTAAAAACCATGTACAGTTTCAACAATAAATGTCAAATATCCAGGTACAAATCTAACAAAAGATGTGCACTGAAAACTACAACAAAGTGTTGAGAGAAGTTAAAGATCTTAACAAATGTAGACATACACCACATTTATTAATTGGAAGATTCAATATTGATAGGATGGCAATTCTTCCCAAAGTAACATACAGACTCACACACAAAACCCCAGAAAGGATTTTTCATTTTTTGTGAGAATTAACAAGTTGAGGGCGCCTGGGTGGCTCAGTCGGTTAAGCGTCTGTCTTAGGCACAGGTCATGATCGCAGAGTCCTGGGATTGAGTCCCACATCAGGCTCCCTGCTCAGTGGGGAGTCTGTTTCTCCCTCTACCCTCTCCCCCTGCTCATGATCTCTCTCTCAAATAAATAAATAAAATCTTAAAAAAAAAAAAGAATTAACAAGTTGATTCTGACATCCATTAAAGCGACTTTAAAAAGCCAAGACATTCTTGAAAAAGAAAAGAAAAAAGGTTGAAGGACTAATACTATAGATTTCAAGACAGTGGTACTGACAAAATGATAATAAAACAGAATACAGTCCAGAAAGAGGGCCACATATATGTCACCTAACTTATGATAAAAGCCTCCTGTAATTCAGATGGGCAAGGATGGTGTTTTCCATAAATACCATACACAAAAATTAATTCAAGATGGACCACAGACTAAATCTATAAACCTTCCAAAAGAAAACAGAAGAATACCTTCAGGAACTTGGAAATAAAGATTTCTTTTCAAGATACAAAAAAAGCACTAATCATAAAAGACAAAGGGCTAAAAACCTTCTAGGAAAATGGGAAAAGATATACATAAGCATAAGAAAGTACTCAAAAATGATGCCATGTTAAAAGGACACAGGAGCTAATTTGAAGGAGTTCCTAATGGCCCAATCTGGGACAATTTGAACAAAATATATAACAATACTAATGGATTAAAACTCATAGAGTAAAATAAATACCGAAGAGTTAATAAATAATTGAATAAACACATGAGGAATAAAGGACAGCTCTTTACAGAATTTAAATTAATAAATATAGAAGGAATGATGGAAAGAGAAAATCACCACTAGACAAACATCACAGTAATAATTGTTACAGACAAGAATGATCAATGGATGTTAAAGTTAATGGGTGAAAGTATGATGAGAACATCTTTTTTAAGTTTATTTAAGTAATCTCTATATCCCGAAGTGGGGCTCAAACTCATGATTCCAAGATCAAGAGTCCCATGTTCTTCTGACTGTGCCAATCAGGCACACCCATGAGGACAGTATTTTTGCATAGTCTCAAAGCATCTCCCCACAAGATACTTATTAATTAAAAAGAGAAAAATCGTAGTTTTACAAAAGAGAAACCTGGCAGATACCCCCTCAACCAAGTGATCATAGTTAACGTTACCAGTAATGAAATATATTGATAACATTATATGACACATTGAGAAGAAGACAAACATAATTTCTGTAATCTTTTAGCCAAAAATGCATAGTCTAAATTTAACCATGAGGGAAAAAGCAGAAAAATCCAAATGGAATGATAGTCTACAAAATAACTGGCCAGTACTCTTCAGAAGTGTCAAGGTCATGAAAGATAAAAAAGGCTAAAGAACTATGTCTGGGGGCGCCTGGGTGGCTCAGTTGGTTAAACATCTGCTTTCGGCTCAGGTCATGATTTCAGGGTCCTGGGATCTAGCCCCGCAGCAGGCTTCCTGCTTGGTGGGGAGCTGCTTCTCCCTCTGCCTCTGCCCCTCCCCCCGCTTGTGCACGCATGCCCTCTCTCTCTCTCTCTCTGAAATAAATAAAATCTTAAAAAAAAAAAAGAACTATGTCTGATGGGAAGAGATAAGACAATTAAATCAATGTGGGAATCTTCAATTGGATCCTGAAAAAGAACAGGGCACTGATAAGACAATTAGCAAAATTTAAATAAAGTCTGTAAATTAGCCAGTAGATTTCCTGATTTTCATCATTGTACCAAGGGCACCTGAGTGAAGAATATATAGGAATTCTTTACACTATATTTACAATATAAAAATAAAAAGTTTTTTAAAATGAAAAAAAAAATTTTTTTTTTTAAAGGGCAGTGGGCAGAAAGACCTAAACAGACACTTTAAAAACCAGGATATCCAAATGGCCAATAAACCTATGAAAAGGTGCTGAACATCATTACCCATCAGGGAAACACAAATTAAAACCGATGAAATTCTACTATACAACCACCAGAATAGTTAAAATAAAAGACTGACAATATCAAACAGAGACGATGAGGAGCAACTGAAACTCATATATTGCTGGATGAATTGGTACAACCACATGACAAATTGGTAGTATTTATTAAATATATGCCCAGTGTATGATCTAGCAATTCCACTCCTAAGTATTTAGCTAACAGAAAAGTATTTACATGTTCACCAAAAACAGAATGTTCATAGCAGCAATACAGTTTGTAATAGCCAAAGAAATGTTAACTATCAAATGTCCATCAATAGTATAAGCAATTAATTAATTGCAATATATCCCATATGTAAAGAGAACTTAGAACAATGACACTCAACAACATGGATGAGTCTCAGACATAATGTGGAAGAAAAGAGACCAGGCATAAAAGAGCACATGCTATACAATTCCATTTATATAGAAGTTCAGGAATGGGTCATTAATGGTGATAAGACTTCTGAATAACGATTGTGGGAGAAATAACTGGGAAGGGGTATGAGGGAATCTTCTGGGGTGCTGGCAAAGTTCTTAATGTTAATTTAGGAAATTGTGATACAGCTCTATTCATAAGATTTGTGTACTTTATATATGCTATATCTCATAAAAATGTTTTTTAAAAAACTATCAGAACCATGTTTTGGTAGGGACATGAAGCAATGAGATGTTTCAAATATTGCTGTGCACGCATAAATTTGTGCACCCACTTAGGTAATTATTTTGGTACTATTTAGTAAAGTGCAAGATATATGACCCAGAAATTCCATTGTCTGGTAGATAAATTCATGCACATGTATCCTTTGTAAAAGAATGCTGTGGCAGCACTGTTAATAAAGTCACAAACTAGAAATGGCTCAAATGCCCATCATTGATTGAAGGGATGAACAACAGTGGTATACTTCAAAGGACAGAATACAATATAGCAAAGAAAACAAATGAACCACTACTATACCGAATATGACAATTCTCAAAAACATAGTTGTACAAATAAACAAAAGAAAAAGAAAAAAGACAATACGATAGCATTTGTAAAAGTTTTAAAATGAGGGAAAACTACAGTATAATACTTAGGTAGACAACCTAAGTGAATAAACCTCATACATTTATCCACTCACCAAGCAATCACACAACCACTACGGGGACATACAGCTAGAGGTAACCCACAACCAAAGCAACAGGGCCACACACCCAGGGCCTCAAATGGTCACATGGGCACAATCACACATTTACCAAGAGGACATTCAGTCACAACCGCACTGTCACAAGTACCTGACACCTGCAGATGGTCGCACAGTCACAATCACACTAACCACAGATAAAACCACATAGTATTCACAGGTACCCCCACCTGTACTCTGCAGCACACGGTCACAATGTCGCACAATCACACACCCTTACGGGGACAAACGCTGTATCACATCCACGGAGTCACAAGCTCCCCACACCCTCACACACAATGCCGCACGTGGTCCCAATCACACACACACCACCGGGTCGCATCCAATCTTACCAGCACAATCACGGGCTCCCAGACTGTGCTGCACACTGGTAATCACTGGAAGCACTTACTCACCATAGGAACAGCTAGTCACAACCACACGGTCATTCACCACATACCGCCAGACACAATCCTACAATTTCAATCTAACCTACCCCGCCGTACAAAGCCGAGCCTCCGGCTCCGCCCTGTCCTGGGGATCCTCACCTCAGGCCTTCCAAGCTTCCAGAGCAGCAGAAGTCCCCACAGCGCTGCAACAGTTGCCGGTGTAGACCCGAAGGTCCCGCCAGCGCGTGACTTTGAGGCTGAATTCACGCGAGAATCACAATGATGCCGAGGAGTTCTCTGGGAAATGTAGTCAGAAAATTACCTATGGCGAACAAGGTAGCTCCCGGTCGCCAGGCTTTCTCTCAGGGGTTAGCTGCAGCCCCGCTTGCTTAAAGGATTGCTCCCCTTTATGGAACCGCGCACCGGAGGCCACGCAGAGCCTGGTTCAGTCTTAGGCAGTGGCCTCCAAGGAAGGCCACTCCGACGTGTTTGAAATGGGATTGCTTCTCGGACCCACCTTATTATCCCCAGAATACGGGCTCAGGAAGAGGAGGGCTGGTTTGGTTTAGGTAAGACTATTCGCACCGTTGAGCCTTCTGGGAACTGTAGTTCGGAGCCGGGAAAGCGGTGGATGGACCGTTTGAAATTCGTCGTGATTCTTCACAGCTTGCTCCGGGCTACACCCCAGAGACTTCTGGGAGTGTCACTGCGTCCAAGGAGTGCGCAGGCTTCTTGGGTTGCCCTTTCGGTGTTTGTTCGGGCGTGAGTTTGGCTTGCGTTTCCTCACTGCGGAGGAATTGTGGGACCTGAACTTCTGAGACTGAAAGCTGGGGTGACCGAAACGAAGGAGATTAGAAAGTTGCGACGGGATTGGGGAGGTCCAGAGGGAGGAATCGCTAAAACTTGAAACGGGGTTGTGGAGGCCAAAAGGGAGGGGTTTCCGACGTTGCAAAGGGGGCTGGTATTTTTCTGTGCTACTGGTTTCTGAATGAAAGTCAGGGCGTGAGGAGAATGATGAGGCGATGAGACAGCCTTTGCAGGAAGCAAGTAATGAGATTCCCGGTGTGTGTGATTTGGGATGTTGGGGGTCGGGGAAAGAGGGAGAAACGGGACTCAGGATTATGTGTGTGTGTGTGTGTAATGGGTGATTTAAATAAGTATCACTGTATGTATGACTGGGATTGTATCTTGGAGAGTAGTCGCTGAGCCTCGGTGGTAAAACAGTAACAAGGATAGATTTTCCTAGGACATCTTTTTTTTTTTTTATGGGAGGAAGTTTACATAATTGAGCTGGTAAGTGAGCTAAAGCTTGACTTTTGTGTAAAAACAGTAGCATTATTATGGAATTGAAATAAAAATAGCATTGTTTTCTTAAAAGAGAAAGTCTGTTTGAAAGGAACTGGTTTTTTTTCTTTTTTTTTTTTTTTTTAATGGGGTGTTTGCTCTTGCTTAGAGTACAGATCCTAGAGACAAAGCAGTTCAGGCTTCTTTGTTCTTTTAATGTCCTGAGGGAGGGGTGTAGGTCTAAGGGAGCTGACTTGTGAAATCCTGGAGTAAGAAAGTTTGGAGGGTAGTGTCGACCATTGGAAATAGCAGAAAAGTGAATTAGTGTTATTCCCATTTTCTTAAGAAAAAACTGGCCTTAGAGAGATCAAAGAATAAAAGTTTAAAGTTTCTCAAGGAGCCTACTCAGATAAACTAATAATTCCTTCGGGTTACCCCTAGGCCAGGTGGATTTTGTTGGTTATAAAAATAGGTTGCTCCTATTTGCAAAGGTGCTTTCTCCAATAATTTACTACAGTTGCTTTTAATAATTTTATTATATTTTACTTTTTTGAAGATTTTGTTTTTAAGTAATCCACACCCATCCTGAGGCCCAAACTCACAGCCCAGAGATCAAGAGTTACATATTCCACTGACTGAGCCAGCCAGGTGCCCAACATAATTTTAAATAAAAGGAGAAAGTAAGGTTGGGTCTAAGATTCGTGTAAGTAAATTTTGTATATACAAACAAAACCTTGGAATAGGATAAAATTCTTCAGGATATCTTAGTAAGAAATAAATAAGACCTGTTTAAGAAAAAATTTAAGACCCTATGAAGAGACACAAAAAAAGACTTAAATGAAAAGTTATACCATATTCTTGAATAGAAATCCTTCATTATAAACATGTCATTTAAATTAATTTATGAATTTAACATCCCACTGAAAATAATATCTTTCTCTAGATAGGTAGGAGTTACTCTAAAGTTCAAATGGAGGGTAGTCTGGCTGGCTCAGTCAGAAGAGCAAGTGACTCTTGATCTTGGGGTCATGAATTCAAACCCAATGTTGAGTGTAGAGATTACTTAAATAAATAAATATTTTTTTAAAAAGTAAAGTTAAAATGTAAAAACAAAGGCAAGAATAGACTGGAAGAAAAAAGCAATGTGGGGCACATGGGGCTAGTCTTATGATAACAAAACATATTCTAAAAGTTCAAAAATTTAACTAATATGGGATTGTCATCTGACTGGACAGGCCAGTGGAACAGAATAGAGAATCCAAAAATAGAACTGGAACAGAATAGAGAATCCAAAAATAGAACTAAATAAAGAATTTTAGTGTATGGTGAATGGGGCATCTCAGATTACCCCTCAGGTGAATGGGGAAAATGTGAACTTTTCAACAAAGGTAATAGGGACAACTTGATAGACTTTCTAGAAAAAAGAGTGGATTATGACCTGTACTGAATGCAGAGTTAACTCCAAATGGGTCAAAATTTAAAATTGAAACAAAAAACTTAAATTATAAAGACTGAAAACTTGAGTGAATTACTTTATAACCATGGAGGGGGGGAAGGCCTTTCTAACTTCAGATTCTAAAAATCAAACCATAAAAGATTAATTATCCTTTCTAAATGGAAAAAAAAAGTTGAAGTGACAAACTGGAAACATAATTTGCATTTTATAGTTACAAACAAATGGCTAACCTCCCTAATATATAAGGAGCACCAAAAAAAATTGATTAAAAGACTAATAACCCAGTAAGAATGGAGAAAGAGATTAACAAATAATACACAGAACATAGTCTTCATGTTCTCAAATGTATGAAAATATGCTCAACCTCATACATAATCAGATAACTTTCATTAAAACTATATAGAGATATTGATTCTTACAGACTAGAATGGCAGAAATTCCCCAAATTTGAAAACCTATATTGCTAGAGGGACTGCAGATTGGTACAAACTTTATGGAAGGCAATTTGGTAGCATATATCAAAATTCCAATTGCATTTAACTTTTCACTGAGCAATCCCACTTCTGAGATTTTATCCTACAGTTATGATGATGTATATCCAAGATTATTCATATAGCAGTCTTCACAATAGCGAAGATTAACTGTAAATAAACCATTGAACATAATGCAACATTATGTAATTGGAGAAAAAACTGAGAACACTGTCTATGGCCTGATACAAAAAGCCTCCAAAATATATTAATGAAAACAAAAACACCATGCAGAACCTTATGTGATACTGTTCTACTTTTTGTATAAGAAGGGGGGGAAATGGATAAGAATAAATATTTGTGTTTGCATAAAGAACTGAAATTTGCAAAAGAAACTAATAAAAATAATTTCTGTGGCAGCCATTGAGGTCAAGAGGGTGGGTAGGGACAAAGAAGGGCATTATTTTTTACTGTATACTCTTTTGGGACATACTTTTTATATTATGTATAAATATTACATTATAAATATATTATAAATATGATTTTATTCATTGTCATCTTTACATGAGAAGGAAGAGTTGTGTTCTTCACATTTCTTTTCAGAAACCTATTACAACTGCAATCTTGACAACTTCCTTGAGACCACTCATTTTTCTAATTCTGATCCTCTGATTAGAAATAAAACAAATAATAACAGCAACAAAAACATTCATGAATTGTTTCTCCACTTGTCTTTATTTTTTTAATTTTTAATTTTTTTAAAAGATTTTATTTATTTATTCATAAGAGAGAGAGAGGCAGAGGGAGAAGCAGGCTCCCCGCT